AAAAATATATATTTTAGTTCTTGTATTCGTGCGTTTTGATGCTTGTATATGAGTTTTGTAAAATTGATAAACCAATTCCTTTTAGGCTGTGGCTAAAAGCAAGAAAATTGTGGGTTGAATTTTAATGCTCCCTCTTTTGCTTAAATTATAGTCCACTTTGTTTTTATATGTACCTCAATTTTGCTTTAATTTTCAGTAATTCTCTGGTTGATAATTTATATGGTCTTTTATTGCAGTCATTCCATTTTTGCAAGTATAGGAGGGATGAAAATCAACTGTATATATTTGCTGATGATGTTGTTCCACGATGGCTTACTGCATCATACCATATAGATTTTGACACCATGGCTGGTGCAGACAAGTTTGGTAATGTCTATTTTGTGCGGCTACCCCAAGATGTATCAGATGAGATAGAAGAAGACCCAACTGGTGGAAAGATAAAATGGGAACAAGGGAGGCTCAATGGAGCTCCGAACAAGGTAGAGGAGATAGTTCAGTTTCACATTGGCGATGTCGTAACTTCCTTGCAGAAGGCATCTCTGATACCAGGTGGTGGAGAATGTGTCCTTTATGGAACGGCAATGGGGAGCTTGGGGGCATTGCTTCCATTCACTTCCCGTGATGATGTTGACTTCTTTTCCCACCTAGAGATGCATATGAGACAGGAACACCCTCCCTTGTGTGGACGAGATCATATGGCTTATAGATCTGCGTATTTCCCTGTAAAGGTAACCTCTTCCTTCCTTATACAGTTCAATGAATTGTTTAATTATGAAGTCATGTTCTCAGAGATGGCTCCAGGATGCAGTTAATTATTTATTTGAAAGATTTTTTCAACATCAATTCCAGGTGCTATTAAAAATTAGTCTTTTCCAAAATATTACTTTAGTTTGGAAGATTGAGAACTATGTTTGTCTCTATCCTGTTTATCATCATTTTATTATAAAATTGTCATTATCACCATTATGCTTTGTTAGTACTTTCTCTATCTCATTCTCATGCTATCAAAAGGAAGAATTGGTTTGTTTGAAAAATGATGTTGAGAAAGTTGGTTTTTGTGGTGTGAATAATTACCATTCAACTGTGGCTACCCATATATTACTCTTGGTTTTGAAAGTTTGAAATGATTTTGCAGGACGTGATTGATGGGGATCTGTGTGAGCAGTTTCCTACCCTGCCTATGGATTTGCAGAGAAAAATTGCAGATGAGTTGGATCGAACTCCTGGGGAGATACTGAAGAAACTTGAAGAAGTCCGAAACAAGATTATTTGAGATAGCTGATAGCATCAAGTCTAAGGTGGCTCCCTTCCCTCTCCTTGTTTTGCATTTTGTGTCCCTTTGGGTTTATATTTATATTGTTGATGAATATTATTATTTTTCCTATAACTTTATTTGGATACTCAAACCAATTACAATGCTTAGATTATCATTGGATGAGTATATTCATCAACAACTCAAACCAATTGCAATACTCAAAACCATAATTAGGCTATTTAATCAGCATATTGAGTATTTCCGTTTGTATTTCTTATATCCAAATCACATTACATTGTAAGGTACCAAACGCCTCCAAAGGGATTTGATCATCACTCAAGAATACATTGTCCTTTGCATATAGGTTGTTTTACCTGGATTTATCAGCCCGGATCACTGGTTGCGAGTTGTGGTTAAGAAAGCTAAAGCATGTCTCACATGCTCCCGAGGCAGATGAGGAGATATTGCAAGTTGTTCCAAGTTGAAAGCACGAGGCATAGATAGAAGTATTGTATAAGTTTTGAAACAAACTAGTTGTATTAGAGGCCAAAAATCAGAGATTGACATTTGCTGCTGTTGTAATTAATCAGATCCTCTTGTGCATTTGTATGTTCATTAGTAGATAGAGATTGATTTTTCCATGCTCTCTCCTTTCCCCTCTTACCTTCGAGGTAAGAGGTATTGCTTATATCAAGCCTTTATGTTTTTTGTTTAAGTCAATCAAGTCCTCCCCTTATTGTATGGTCAAATAAACTTAATTTAGATAAACAATATTGACATGACTATCGATGTGATTTATTTCGACTTAAGTGACTAATCGGACTGTCGTCTGGTCAATATTTTCCATCTAAATTGAACTCGTTCAATACGAAATAATAGATTGAGGACCCAATTGATACAAATAAAAAAATAAAAGTTAAAGTAAAAATTTTACCATAATTGGAGGTCAAACTTAAAATGGCCCAAAACACTTAAAAGTTATTAGACCCAGCCCAAACTATTTGTTCCCTTCCTACTCCCTAGTTCAAAGCCGAAGTTTTTGAGTAGCCGACTTTACCCTTCTTCTCTGTTCAAAAATCCAGCGTTTCCTGTCTACTCATACTCCGACTTGCGACACCCAGACCCAGGTCTGCCTCTCCCTCCCTCTTTCCTTTTCTTTTCCTCAATGGGTATCTGTTGAATCTCTATTTAAGTTGAAAAATTGATTGTAAGTCGATGGTTCGTAGGAACTATTCAGTTAAGTAACCTTGTATTAGATGTGTGGTTGGTGTTATGTTTGAATGATGAAATTATCAGTATTTAGTTGGTTTAATACTTGCTATATCGGCTTGATCATGTATATTTAATTGATTTATTGATATATTCTTGAAGATATTTTAGGGTTTGTTTTTTATGTTCTAGGCTTAGACAGACGTTCATTCCTTGTCTTTTTTTTTTTTTAATATAGAATTATCATGTGGCAGTATTTGTACTGCACTATAGCTCGAACTTAGGATCACTACCCAAATCTCATCTCACCCTTTCAACTTGAGGTAAAGCCCAAGCGGCATCTGAATCCATGCTCTTACAACTGACAGCTTCTGCCCATACACCTGTGTTAACATTGAGTTTTCGCTTTCCTAATCACTGGACGTCTGAGGCCTTTTTTTCGTATAGCATTTCCTTTTCTGTAATGGTAGTAATATCATTTGTGGAGTTGAGCTTTCTTCTCCTTTCAAGATAATGTGTGAATGGTTGGCTTATACATAGAACAATTTGATCAACCGTACATGAATTTTGTTAACTGTTTTTCACATTAAGGTCCTCAGCTGGAACATAAGCTTGGTTTGGGGATTTGGGTTTCACTTTGAAATAGATTTTCTACCGTTCCAGTTCATTTAGAGGTAAATTTTCATGGTTTATGTTTTCAAAGATTGCAACAAGTATTATTACTTATGTTGGTTACTCAAATATTCCTACTGAGGCATTGGTGTTGCCATGTGAGGATCTCTTTATTGCTTATTTGCTTAGGCCCTGTTTAGGGAATTGGGGCTTCAGTGCAGTGGAAAGGCCTCCCACCGTGCCAAATCACCTTAGTATCCTTTTTGCACTTTGGATACTGTACCTGTAAGGCGTAAAATAAATCTTTCAATTATTAAAATTAAACTATTGGTCTTGAAGAATTATTGCTCTTTCTAGAATATTTTGTGTATGTGTCTCCCTTTATGGATTGCGTGTTGCTTCTTTTCTTTCCAATGTTGATTTCAGTATGCCATTTATTTGCAGAGCATAATGGCCAGCAAATCTGAGAGTAAGGAACCTGTAAATGAGCAAATGGTTGCAAATACGTATGCAGCTATGAGATCTGAACTAAATCAAATTTATTCGAAGATCACTGAATTGGAGATGGAAGTGAGTGAGCATTCACTAGTTATAAATGCCATTCAGCCGCTTGACCAATCAAGAAGGTGTTACCGAATGATTGGAGGTGTGCTGGTGGAGAGAACCATCAAAGAGGTTCTCCCGGCTGTGCAGCGAAACAAAGAAGGGCTTGAGGAGGTAATCACTCGGCTTAACGAGGCCTTGGAGAAGAAGAAAAAGGAAATTGCTGATTTTGAGGCAAAATACAAAATTAGGATAAAGAAGTCTGATAGTGAGGTGAAAGATGAAAGCAGCAAGAAGGAAGGCTCTGCTCAAGGAGTTCTTGTTGGCCCTGCAAGTTCAAGTGGGTGATAGGTCTACTCTTTCTGTTTCCTTCCTCATATTCTTAAACTTTGTCCAGTTATTGCTAAGATGTACCCAAATCTGACCAGATGAAACTTTGTTCAGTTATTGCTAAGATGTACCAGTTTTTAGAGAATCAGATGTTTTGTTGATCAGGATAACATTTTGTAACAAATTGTGTTAAATTGGTGATTATGTTTTGATCTTTGCTTATTGGAATGCCCTAGATTGGATTTTTTTTTTTGTCAAATTGGGCTATTCAAGAAATACTATCATGTTCTCACCAATGGCCAGTTTAAGGGTGAGAATTTTCACAATGTAACTCGATACCAGGAAATGAATCTACAAGCAAAACATGCCATTAAATCTGTACAAATATAAAAATTGCAGCTCTTCGTGCCTTTAAAAATGAGAAAAACACAGTTTTGATTGGCATGATCATTTCACAGTTTATTGGCAGCCGAATTCTGGTTATCAAGCTTCAATTAAAGTTTATTGTTCTTCCTCACATACAAACGATCATTTTCAAGCTTCCTCTCCATCTCCAACCTGGAATCTCCAAGTCTAGTTCTCTCTTCTAACCATCTGACAATGTCCGAAAACACGATATCGATGTTTTCCAATGGTTCTCCATAGAGTAGACCATGCCACATTCCAGGGTACAACTTCAGGGTCTTGTCTGTGCTTGAAGCTACATTGTAAAGTTGTTTGCTAACTTGTTGATCAGTCACTTTATCATCTTCCCCATGGAGAACTATGAATGGAAGTTTAACCTAATCCACACAATTGACAAAGAAATGAGCTAAACACAATAAGCCAAACAAAAAATAAGAGAAAACAGAGATGGAGTTATTTACAAACCTCATCTAGCCTTTTCTCAATGTCCAAGCTAACTCTCAAAAGCTCAAAGGCAGTTTTCATTCGGAGTGGGCCTTTGTAGCAATATGGGTTCTTCCTAATCTGTTTACAAAGAAAAATATCAATCCTTAGTTTAATAGACTTCGTTTTACACACGTAAATACATCCATGACACATTTTCGAATGCAAACTTTCTGTAACGAATATATACCTCTTCTCTTATTTCTGCCTCTTTGAATGCAACTTCAACAATGTCTGTGTGTATTGGTAATTTCCAAGTTGGAGCCAACCAGCATATCCCTTTGAGAAGAAAAGTGACTGGTGGAGATGGCTTCATATTATCTGCAATCTGTTATAAATAAAAAAAAATTAAGTCAAAAGATAATGAGACCCTTTTTTTATCTTCTAATTGTATCCTTAATTATTTATTAGTGAAAATAAAATGAATCAAGATTTCTCTAAACTTTGCAGATGTCAAGTTAGGTGATGTAAGTCAACTAAATTCATTATAGATTCAAGATTATCAGCAAACATTGCATTGCATGATCAGTTATATGTAAATGTACAGCATGCATGCCATCAATTATTTTATAAATGCTCAAAATGATCTCAAATTATAATTTAAAATGCTTTTCTTTCCGAAATTTTTCACATTCCTTTATTTTTTTTATGAAAATTAATTTTGTTTATTTACAGGTAAGTTTCATTTGATTAATCGACATTTGAATTAAAAAAATTAAAATATGCATAGAATTATGCAAGATATATACCTCCATTCACAAGAAAAGAATGGAACATAAAAGAATTTTACATGCACAAGATCCAAATTTGTAGGATCAAGACCATATCAAACATGTTTTTCCTAGTCTATAGAGCAAGAATCAAGGACAAAGAGTAGACGATATTGAAGAAAATGATAATCACATGCACGTGCGCACACATTTATACCTTACACATGGGTGCAACCAAGATGGTGCCATCCCAGAAGTCTGGCATCTTTCTGTGTAGAAGAAGAACCAGGGCTCCTCCCATGGACTCCCCTAGCAAATATCTCATCTTCCCTTTATTCTCTTCCTTCTCTAAATTATGAAGAAGATGAATTGTAAGTTTATGAATGAAATTGAATGGAATTATAAGGGGGAATAAAAATGTAAACTCACCACATATACTTGTGAAATGATCACTGCAATCATTGATTATATCATCAAAGTTCTGTATATATGCTTCCAATCCAGCTGATTTTCCATGGCCTTGGTAATCCATGCCGTAAACTGCATAACCTTCTTTCACAAGCCTCATTGCAGTACCTAAATTTAACCATTAAAACCCATTGTCAGCTTTCGATCAAGTATGGATTTTGCTGTGTAAAATGAATAGACTACTTACTGCTCATGGTGATGCTGCATTCCATGGCATAACCATGGCAAATGAAGATCAAAGCTTTGGGTTCTTTCCCCACCGGAATCCATTTACAAGTGAAAAGTTTCAATCCTCGAGAATTTGTAATGAACGTCTGCAAATTGATATGAAAATATTATAGCCTAAAATATGATATCATGTAATCATAATGCAAACTGTGTAAACTTATGCTCACCTCATCATAATTAACATTCTCATCTGGATGTGTCTGTAGACATTTATTACGCAAGATAAAAGAAAATTAGAGAGAATAATCAGAACAAAGAATGCATGTGCACAAAAGGCAAGAAACATACCAATGCCATGAAGGTGATGATAGACAAATCTGTCTTCTGGGGGAGGGGTGTAGGAGTAATGAAAGTAAGGTACAGAATCTTAAAGCAAATGGCTTCCTCTTGTACAGAAGAAAGAAGCTTAAAGCAATTGCTCTTGAGGTTAATTGTTAGACACAAAAGAAACTTGAATCTATCTAGAAAAGGAAAAGCAGTGATGTTTTAACAAGAAACCATAAGACACAAAGCTAAAAAAATTGAAATTCACTTCATTAGCAAAGATAAGAACTTGAAATCTAGTTTTTTTTTTCGATATTAAATTTAAATCCGAAACAAATAATAACAGATAAAAAAATTTCGAGTTACAAAACAAGAGTTAAAAGAAGGTTTAAAGGATTAATTATGATCTCCAACTTACATTTTAGTTGCCTATATATAGAAAAATTGTTAGCATTGCCAGATATGATAGTTGCCATCTCCCCACTTGCGAGGGAGAGAGACCCCATGCCCTTAAGACTTGCCAAGGGAAACAACTTACCAAAGGGTGAGGTATGTGAACCTAACTTTTAACACTTTAAATTATCAAGGGGGTTAAAAGATTGTTCATCTTTATAAAAATAGTATTTTAATATAAGAAAATATAATCATCAACTACATAATGCATAGTATTTTAAAGAAAGAGTCAAAGAAGATGATGCATAGTATTATTGTTATTATTATTTGTTAAGTTCTTGGCTGTATTGCTTAGTTCATGCCTCTCCAATTTGCTCTTGCTATACTTGACTTAGGTGACTTGTATATTTATAGTGTATATAGTTAATTATTTTGGAATCCGAAATTTAAAATACCTTTTTCTTAAACATGAGAAAAATATATGTTTGTAAGTACAATAACATCATGACCATATGTAAAAAATTTAATGAAATCGATTCATAAATAATTATTTCATAAATTTTTTGAATAAGTCTATTTCAATATTCAATTATGTTGTAAAACAGTAATTATTAAAAAAATATGATTAAAAAACTATAATAAAAAAACAAATTTTTAACCGTCATTGTTTAATATTATTTTTACAAGTCAAATAAATTTTTTAAAACCTGAACTTGAACTCGAACCCAAACTTGAACCCAATTTAAATCATTTATGAGGTTGATGAGACTCTTGGGCCAGATTAGAGCCTGAGCAAAAGCCGAGTGGCAGTCAGCTGCTAAGTTGTTTGGACCTCAGCTTGCTTGGTGGGACCTCAGTAGCAGTCATATCTCTTTTTCCTAATGTTCATTGAAGCAGACTTATGTGTCAGTCCTCATTGCTTTCTGCATTCTTCAACTGCCATAACTATTTTTTTTAAAGTAAAATCACAAATAATTTCAAATCACAGAAAAATATGTAGTTCAACTGCCATTTAATTCATTTTATCATTTTTCTTTTCAGAGTTAAGAACGAGAGCGTTACAATGGTATCATCCTGCCTGCTGGAATTGTTGTTTGTGTTCATTGCATTATCATTTTTCCTGAGTTTAGGAGCAGCATCATATATGCATCATCCTTAGCCCACAAAAACTATCAGAAACCTTGACTAGAACCGTATTTTTGCTCTGATAGGTTGGCGTTTCCAGGTGCTGTATGGGTGATTATTCTGACTACCCAGTCCACTAATAGGGACTGTGAAGCTCTTGTAAGCTTCTCCCTCGACCACAGAAAAATATGAGCTCTGCCTGCGTATATTTATCAACCAATGTACAAATGAAAGCCAAACTCCAGATTTACTTCATTTTCTCTTTCTACCCTATAGCTGCTACAAGTGGACTAAACCCTTTCAATTATTTTCCTCTGATTATTATTAAATCTTATCGTTGGATGAAAGGTTGAGGAGTGCAGCTCAATCAGGAAATACAGATGACTTGTATGGATTAATTCAAGATGACGCGGATGTTTTGCGACGCATCAATGAGATGGAGTTTGTTGATACTCCACTACACATAGCTGCAGCTGCAGGACACACTGACTTTGCGATGGAGTTGATGAACTTAAAGCCATCATTCACTAGGAAGCTGAACCAAGGGGCTTTAGCCCTCTTCACCTAGCCTCGCAATATCCAGAAGCAGAGATGGTTCGTGTCAAAGCGAGGGAGGGTTACACTCCTCTTCATCATGCAGCCAGAGAAGGAAATGTTCCTCTTCCGTCTAAATTTCTGGAGTATTGCCCCAATTGTAACTTAGATTTGACTGTTCGAAAAGAGACTGCTCTGCATGTTGCAGCACAATACAATAACTTAGAAGCTTTCGAAGTCATACTGGACTGGATTCAGAGGACTGACAAATACTACGACTTTGAGAAAAGAAGAACCCTGAACTTACAGGACAAGGATGGAATCACTGTGTTGCACATAGCCGTATCAAATAACCAACGCAAGGTACCATTTATCTCATCTTTAAGAGAAAATAGAATTAATTTGGCATTGTATTTTATACCATTTGTCAATTAATTGAGGATTTTATATAAGCAGATGATCAAACTGTTAATAGAAAGCAAGAAGGTTGATAGGAATAGGGTTAATCAGAGTGGTTTTACAGCTTTGGGTGTCTTAGAAGTTCAAGCTCCAGTTGACAGATAGACTGTCAACATTCTGGAACGTGCTAAAGATCCACC